CTGGAACATTAAAAGCAGTTTTATATTGATGTAATTCATTAATTTGGATCTACCAATATCCATATTTTAAATTGAACTTAGAAAATATCAACGCATCTTATAATCTATCTAAGATCCTTTTTATTAGAGATTGGATGTCTTATCCATTTTAACACCTTATTAAGAGGCTTATAATTTATTAGTAACCTTGGTTTTCCTCTTTCTATTTCACTGTGTTTGTTAACATAAAAACTAGTACATGACCATGGAGAAATTGATTTTTTAATTAATCCTTTTTCTAATAGCATATTTATTTCTTTTTTACATAATTCTAAATATTCAGAATTCATTTGACAGGGTCTTGCCTCTGTCCTGATCACTATTTTTTCATCAAAATCTTCTTCATATGGGAGACTAACTTCGTGCCTTTTCCTATCCCAAAAAGCATTAGGATGTTCATTACAAATCTCAGTAGAAATATTATTATATACTCTTTTAAAATTTTCTTGTAATTTAGTACTTTTTAAGTCTTCTTCTGTGGAGAATATATTAATCTCAAATTTTAAAAAATTAATCTGATTATTTTTCCTAAATATAAGATCTTTAAGTTCATTAATAAGCTCGTATTGGGTTCAGTTATAAATTTAAAAGATACAAATTTTTTGTCATATGTACCTGTGATACTATCAGTATCATTATGGGTTATGGGGAAAATTCTTTTTATAAAAGGAATTCCTAGTATAACTTGGCTAGTTATATTTTTAGCTATTAAGAAACTTTCAGGAATATAGACTTGATTATTACAGATATATCCTTTAGATAATTTATAGTTTATATCTAATACTTTTCCACCAGCATGTCTTACCACATGAGTAATTTTTTCAAAATATTTAGTGGGAATTATCCCTTCCTGTATAACACTAACATCCGCACCACTATCAATTAATGCTATTAATTCTATTTGATAATTTAGTCTAAAGATCCTAGGAAATTTTCATTTCCTGTTTCATTTATTAATATGTTCCTATAAGAATCTACTTGGTTTTTATTTTCTAAATTAGAGACTCTGTCATCTAGACTTCTATTAAGTCTTTTTAAAGTTTTTACTTCTTCCTTGAGATTCTTAATCTCTTCTTTTAAGTCACTTACCGATGTAGGATTTTTTTCTATCCTATTTGATTTTTCTCTAAGCATTTTATATACTTTATCCATCATATATGGATTATTATCTATTTCTGGCAATTTATCATTACTACTACTTGGGATGTCAACAATTTGTTCAATTATCTTTGATCTCAACTCTTTATCTTTTATTATCCTTAAAAGTTCTAAAATATTATTATATGTCAAAACATTTATATCTGTTTCTCTAAATTGAGACATAATTTTGTAAAATTTTTCATTTTCATTATCAATCATTTTTATACAAATATCAATTCCCTTACAAGGATCACAACCCTCAGTTTCATCTCCTGAACTTTCTGATGTATAACTTAACCAATCTATTTCAGCCTCATCTGAGCTTTCTGATTCAGATTCTGAGTTTAACAAATTAATTAATTCATTTTTATTTTCCTGGTTAATATCTAAACTATTTCTTCTTTTTTTCATTTTGCATCTATTTGCAAAATGTCCTGGCTGTTTATATTTATAACAAATTATATTAGTTCTATCTTTCTTATTCTCAAGTCTTTTCATTTTCCTTATTGCTTTTTTATTTAATTTTTCTTGAGAATATTTTCTCTTCTTTTTCTTATAATACTTGTCATCTTTTTTAAAATTTTTTACCATTCTTTTTTCTGATGGAATTTCCATACCAAATTGACTACAAAACTGACCTAACTGTTTTCTTTCAGTCAATCTTTGTCTTTTAATTTGTTGATTTAATTTTATTTCATTACACAAGGCTAAACCTTCCTGAATGCAAGTTCCTATTAATCTTCCATAAGTATAATCTTCATAAGGAATATTTATTCTATCTTTTCTTAAAATTCTTCTGACTCTCTCTGTAAATAAACTTGGTAATCCATCTATAAATTTAGATTTCCAAAAAACACTATTACTATCATGTAATTCCATGACTCTATTAAGAAAAGCATCTTTATACCATCTAAAATCAGATAATGTTTTACATCTTAAATTCTGTAATAAAGTGCGAATATTTTCACTATTATCAGAGATTCTTCCTGTAAAATGTTCTAGTATAGTAACAATCAGTGTATAAACTGCATTGTCTATAATCTGAGATCCTTCTTGTTTAACCGTTCTATAGATTTCTTCTTTATTTTGTGGAGACAAATAATGGTCCCACCGGCCTTTTAATTGGCCAGTAAATCCTGCAACTATCATTTTTGACATTCCTACATCATTATTTCCATTTGTTTTACAAATAGTACTATACATTAACATTCTATGGGCCAAATTATAAATTTATTTTTCGGTATATCCATCTATATTCCATTCATAAATACACTTTCCATTGTAACTATTATTTAGTGTATATTCCTGCTCTTCATGTAAAATATCTGCAGGAGAAGGTCTATTATAATAATACAACCTCTGAGTGGGTTTATTAGCATACTTATTTAATTTATTAATCTCATCACTTATTATAGTTTTATAATCCTTATCTTCTTCTAATTTTTCTGAGAATTCTTCTTCCAAAGTATTAATCTTAAAATTTTTAAGTATCTAATAATTTCTCTAACTCTGACAAAGATTTTAATTTAAAATCTTTTATTTCAGGTGGTGGTTGAAGAGTTGGTGCTGCAACAACATCTTCTCTAGTATTACTAAGACTAGTGTCTGTATTATTTTCTATTAAATGTATTAATTTATCTAACCTACCCTGTAAAGATAAAATTTGTTCTCCTAAGACATTCAAATAAACATTTGTATAATTATTCTGTTCTATTATCTTATTCATCTGTTTTACAGTTATAACCAATGTTTCATCTTCAAATAATTCTGAATATGCAAAAAAGCTCATAACATTATTTTCCTTTTCTATTCTAAAAAGTTGTTGTGGAGGAAATATTGCTTTTAGCGTATTTCCATTCAAGAGTTTATAATCTCTTTCCAATACATATATATGTGGTTCAATATAAACATATATAAACCATAGTATAAAAGGAAATAAGACATTATGATATGATAAAAACTTATAAAATTCATCCGGAATAAATTTTTGTATTTCTAAAGAGAAATTTGGGAAAAACCAATTCCTAAACGGTTCCCATCTTGGAAGATTAAATTTTTCTTTGACTTGATGTCTAGCCAAAGAACCTGGACTGAAATCTATCTTATTCATATTGAAAATGCCATTTCTCATTCAGTTATTTCTTCATTTTTAGTGTTATAAACACCTTTAACAATATTTTCTTTATTTTTTACCAATTTATCAACATGACGATTATTCTCATCATGTTCACTAACTTGTGAAGTAGACACATGATAAGGATGTTCACTATATGAGGTAGAAGCACGACTAGGAATAAGATCTTTATCCTCTATTAGAGGTGAAATATAATGAGTTGAATATGATCGAGATAATCTAGATCTACGAGTTCTGTTATTATTCAATAGGAATGGATTATTCCTCATTTGTATATACACACGTCCTTCAGGAGTTTGCTCAATAGAACTTACTTCTGTATTTGTTTGTGACTTGATATTACCCGTTCTTTCTATAATTCATTGGGATGGAATAGGTATTTCATCCCATTTAATTGTTCTTCTAGTGGTAATCTTTGATTTATTAAAATTAGTTTCAATTAAAACTGTTTCATTTATATTTTTATCAATTAATTTACAATTGGGGTTTAAAGTCATTAAAGGTTTATAATAAATTCTATAACATATACAAATCAATTCTGATCCAGTCATATAATTATATCCATGAGTTTTAACATTCAAAGTTAATGCATCAAGTATATTAAAATCACTTAAAGATAATGAAAGTTTTGGATAAACATTAAAATAAACTGGTCCATGAGCTAAGTTAGATTGTATTATCCCCATTAACGATTGTTTCCAATTTAAATTTCGAGCATCTCGTAAACAAGCTATGAAGCTTTCTGGTAATCCTTCTAATGTTAATGGTTTAAAAGTAATTTGCACCAAACCAATATGAATAAATTTATACAATTAACAATATCTATTAATATCATCTGATTGTAATAATTTAATTTCTATTTCCTCATTATCTAAAGAAATAGATTCTTCAGTTGTTTTAACAACTTGTTTTAAACCTAATTTTTCAAAAGTACCTAACTGATATACAGTCTTTAATTCAATCTTTGGAATTGTCCATTTATTCAGCTCCTCTAAATTTTTAGGAATATCATACTCTTGTTTTAGACTATTTTTAACAGTCTTCTTGTTTTTCTGAATTAAATTCATTGGAATATCAAAAGTGGTTGTTTAGATAAGATTCAGTAATCACAAGTCTACTCATGGCTCTGATACCACAACTCAGGAAAGGGACAAGAAACCAGTTATGTTTTCAAGCCAGAGAGGGAATATTACAGAGTGATTTAGTCCATCAACATGAACAGATATGAGCAAACTGGGATCAACGCCCTTAACACGCCTTTCACCCGGCTTTAAACAGGGCTAATCCCTGTTCATAAAAATCATGGCCAGACAGAATCACGCTTACTCATGGCAAGATCGTGCATAACTAGTTAACTAATATTAAATTTTAGTTTTTTTTAGCGTAAAATACTCCTAATAATAAGTAGAAGTTTGTCACGATATAAAATAAAATAAAAATAATATTCAGGTGAAATTATGACACGATTTAACAGCGAGTACGTACGGACCCGTACAATCCCAGTGTCATACGAAGTGTAATCCTTTCCGAATATTACAACCGAATTGATCGGAAAACTCAACCCCCCACCCAAACGTTTATATAAAAAACCGGTTCTTTCTCCCCCCAAGATATTTTAGCTCCTCCCCTGTTCTTTCCTCTGTCATCCGACAAAAAAAAAAAAAAACCTGTTAATCAGCTTAAAGCAATGGATCATACTCTCAACTACAGTTACGAGCTGCAATGGACGGAGACCTACCAGGATCATCAGGCTCAAACCATCGTAAATGGCGGCGGCGTCGGGACGGCCGGAAGTGGCGGTGCTCATCATCAGCAAGAGGAGAAAGCTGTTGTAGCTCCTCTGCCTCATCCTGCTAATCATTTGGTTCCACGTTATTATGACCCGAACGAATATCCGCCGGGTTACAGATTCTGCCCGGATGATAGAGAGTTAGTTTTCGAGTACTTGTTGAAGTTTCTGTACAATATTGGACCCGACCCATGGAAGAAACAGCACCCCATTCCTACTGTTGATGTCTACGCACTCAGCCCTGATAAAATCACACGTACGTTTTCGTCGATCTTTTTAATAGTTACATGTGACAATTATTATGGGACTTTGCCTACATTATGGTTATTATTAAAATAAATCACTCGCTACTGTATGAAATATTTTTATGATTGTACTCTCTCTGTCCCAAAATTATTGTTAAGTTTGATATTTCACTTTTAGTACAAATTAAACTAAAAATAAAAATCTAGACTGGGCAATAATTATGGTATGGAGGGAGTATATAATGTTATAAGTTACTTTTTTACACAGATAATTATTCCTAACATAGATTTTGGTTGAAGTGACGGTTGTGCTTGTTTATAACGTTAAAAAATTTGGTTCAAATTTTTTGTCTTATAAACTAGGTTTGGACTCTTCAATTCCGTATTTTATAAACACCAGAAAAGTAGTAGACATAACGAAAAAAATGTGATCTGAATAAATCAACCGATAATACAATTAATTTTCTCATTATTTCTAATCACGAACGCAATTTGTTGGTGGCCTTTTAAAAAATTTCAGGTAACTTCCCATTAACGGCGGTGGATAACAACGATGAATGGTACTTTTTCACTCCGGTGAATAAGAGGTACCCCGGTGGAATCCGTCCTCGACGGGAATGTGCTGACCGTTCCGGGTTCTGGAAACCCACCGGAAAAGATAAGCAGATCGAATTGATCCGCGACAGGTTTGTTGTATTAAAGAAGAGCCTTGAATTTTTCTGGGGAAAGGCGGACAGAAGCCAAAAGACCGACTGGAAGATGCACGAGTACAAAATGAAGACTAATGACGACCAGGTTATGGCTGATTCTTCTTCCAACAAAAATGCCCCAAAACCAAAGGTAAATTCTCATACTACATCTTTATACTAATTATAAGTCCTATTAATCGTTCTAACAAATACTACCTCTATTCCAAAGAAAAATAGTCTATATTGAATTTTCAAATTTGTACTAAAAACAGCACAAAATTCAAAACTCAATGTGGACTTTTTTTTAGGAGGGAGGGAGTAGAATTCTTATTTCTATCAGTCATTATGTTGAATGAATTAAAGAATTTCTTCTTGTAACAACAAATTAATATTTCACTTTGTAGCGTTTAGTAATTGAGGGTATGTTTGTTTCGTTTTTTTAGTGTGTGTTTTAAGATGTTTTTTTCTTACTGAAAATATGAAAAAGTGTATTGAAAATGTAAAAAAATATGTTGAAATGGGACAGTTATTATTAAAATAATCTGAAAAAAACCATCTAAAAAACCAAACGAACAGAGTCTGAACTACTTTGGAGGTAGTAATTAATGTCTAAGTAGTCAATGAAATATGTTGTCAAAAAGGAATCATGAGTAATTAAAAAATGTTTTTTGTTGGTAATTACATTTGGGCAGCTGCTTCCAGCATTGTGTAGAATATATGTGAATACTAGAAAGAAGAATAAGAAGAAAGTGGATGTTGAAGAAGAAGAACAACAACAACAACCACCACCACCAGCTGAGGTGATGAATCTCGGTAGTAAACAAGCACAGCAAGAAGTAGTGACGAATGCCATTGATACAATTCCGGGTGCTTCTGATGTGCTGATTGAAGGTACGCGTTTTTTTCTCTTCCGTCCCAGAAAAATAATCCTGTTTCACGTTATTATTATTATTATTAGCTTTTATAAAAGAGTTCTTACGTTGCTAATCATTCAGGTGGTGAGTCAATTGGTGTTGTCAATGTGGATCAGCAAACCATTTCTGAAATTGGTGATAATTCAGCCGCAGACCAAAGCATGGCTGATGGTTTTGTGGATTATCATGCAGCAGCATCCCAATGTCCTCCGAGCTTCAACTATCAAGTAACTCTGAATCAACAACATCCTTCTTTCGTTGGTTCCGGATCCAATACAGGTTACCCCGTGGCCGTGGGTGCATCCTCGTCGCATGATCGGCCAACTGAATAAGCAGAGCTGATCAAGGGGTTACTTCATTTGTGTTGTTTTCCAAAGATTCTTTTTGGAAGTTTCATTTTCAATTTTCTAGTTAGTAGTATTTCTTTCCTCGCATGATAATAATTTTGTTCCTGAAATGGGAGAATATTTTTAGAATCATAACTATTATTATCCGACCAAAAGAGTATTACAGCTTTATTAATTAGTATGGGGAGGGATTTAAGAGATGGTAAAGGTTAAAGATTTTAGTTTTAAGTTGAAATAGAACAAAGGGAAAACACACTCATGTGCTGTCTTTTCTTGAACTTGATTTTCATTTTGGTTGATTGGTTTATACTCCCCCTTACTTTCAATTTTTTTTCTGTTCCAAAATAATTGTTTTCCTCGACGAATCTCCTTAAATGAAAATTGCCCAAACGTACCATGAGCCAGATGAGGAATTTTGATGCTGGTTGGACTTTAGACCCAACGGGCTTTTCAATCATCAGCACGCTTTTAAGTTGTTTTGACCCAAATTCTATCTAATAAAGCTAAGTCCAACTCTGTTTCACAAATTTATTAATTTGCAGATATCTCATCCATTCGTGTTATACAAAATACATTTTTGATGGATGGAACTGCAAGCTCTCTTTGGAGATAAGAATTGCAAGCTAAATGATTTAAGGGCTTGAAAACTTTAAAACCATGATTGATTTGTTAACAATGTTATATCAATATGGTTATCCATTGATGATTCAACTTTCATGTCCGAAAATTGAATTTCAATATTTTCTTACTAGCCAAGTAATGTTGCACTCACTTCAAACCTAGTTCTTATAAGTCATGAACCACTCCTCAAGCTACTCTTCTATAAAGAAATTGCCTTCCCAAATCCCATAACGAAACACTAACTAACAAATTCAATTTCCATTAAAAAAAAAAAGGGAAACATTTGAAGGACTAAATAGAATTGAACCCTCAAGGCAAATTAATAATGACCCTAAAGTCTATTTTCATAAGGGCAAGTGAGAGCATGAGAAGGGCAGGTATGTTTTGAAAGAGGGACCCTTAGTGCTTGAGATAGGTGAGACAATGCATGATACAAAGGTCATGATGCATGTCTTCTAAAGAGAAGACTCCCCAATTTCAATCAAACTAAAAGAGCAAAAAAGATTCTTTTGATTTCTCTCAATCCCCATTTTAGTACTTTGCAGTTTTGCCCCCATTGATTTGAGTCCTTTTGTGTTCTTATTCTTTGAAATTTTATTGGTTGTCTTTCATGAAAATCGAACTGAAGGGCTTGTGGTTTCCCACATTATCTATATTGCACATGCTGTTTTGAATTGTGATAATTTGTCCGACATTTTTAGATTTTCTAAATTGTTAATGAGACCGAATCCATTTTCAGCAGAAAAAGAAAATTATTATAGTGTATTACTCCTATATCACAGATTCATAGTACTTTTTAGTATTTCCAAAAATAAAAAAAAAATAAAAAATAGTACTTTTTAGTTTAAGAAAAACGTAAGTACTCCACCCGTCCCATAATTATTGTCCAGTTTGAATTTTTATTTCTAGTTCAAATTGTACTAAAAGTGAAATCTCAAACTGAATAATAATTTTGGCAGAGGGATAACTATTGATATTAGAGATTGATCAAATATAAGGTATACTATACATACTAAGTTGCTCAAACCAAGCCTTAATTTAACCTAGTGTATCTGAAGGAATATGGCTGGGATTCATTGAAACCGTCAACGGAACGCGAAATTGAAAGCATGATTCTGCTTTATTCCTTCGTTTCGGGTAACACACTTGCAAGATGACTGGACTTATGATTCTTTTGCAAATAATTAAGCAGATTTTTTCCTCCCCGATTTGTGTTACCAAGCTCATAAAATTTTCTTAGCATTGTGGACTTCTTCATTGAAGCCATTGAAAAGAAATCATCCATTCCAAAATAAATATTGCGTTTACACAAATAAATTAGTTGCCACTTACCAGTTAAATATAAATGTTATTTTGAGATGAAAAGAGTAGTTCATTTTATTTTTTAAAATAATAATTATAGTACAATAACCATAATTTTTTTTATTTTGAGGCATGAAAAAAAATACGTAAAATTGGATTGTAATTGGCTGACTGTCAAGGTTAATGCACAAATGATCGTATAAAAGTAACATTTTTTTAATCCACTCACCAATCTTACCATTGGATGAAAAAGTAAATAAAAAGAGGGAGACAGAGAAGTAGGAAATTGGGGCAACGTAATCACTAGTCTTGCTTCCTCTTGTGTGACCAATTGATGCAATTTACCCATTTTTCAAACCAGAAGAAAAAGTAATTGATGCGATCATGCAATTCTAAAATAAAATAAAAGAAAAACTTAAACCAACTATTTATCAACAAAGTGGATTTAATCGAGTACACACGAGTCAAAAGTTCCTGCCTGCAAAAAGCTTACATAAAGAAACCCTAGTTGATTCTTGTTGATAATAATCATGTTATAAATTAAATCGTCATTAATCATCTAATTAAGTAACTCTTTTATAATTCAGATAGAATTTTTGCTCATTTTATTTTTTAAATTATACTCCCTCTGTCCCAAAATTATTGTCCAGTTTGAGATTTCACTTTTAGTACAATTTGAACTAGAAATGAAAATCCAAACTGGACAATAATGTTTACACCTGAAAATCCAAACTCGTAATTGTAATCTCTCATCTTTTATCACCAACTGGCTAAATAATTTTTACAATCTCTCATCTTTTAGTTTCTCAGCGAAATATATACATTTACCCTCTACATTTACCAGGAAATTAAAAGTACAAACAAATAAAAAAATAAAAAATATTGATGGAATTATGGAAATGATTAAAGCTTTTTAAATAATTAGGGCAAAAGCGGGGGTGGCTGCAAGCAATCATGCATGTCAGTGCATGCATTGTAATTATAGTTTTATTTTTGCTGCATTATGTTATAATTAAGGTTTCACTGACGATGAGTGGCGCCAACTCATAATAATCTCACTTCATAAATCTCGCCTTCATCAAGTTCCTATAACAGTGTTCTAGCTAGATTACAGACTTCATGATCTCGCAGAAAGTTGCTCACAGTTTATTGATTAATTAATCACGAAAACTCGCTAAAATGGTTATCATCTCTCCCATTGACGGTGCCAAGGAAGATAGGCAGATGCGGTCACATTCTTTTTCTCTTTCCTTTTTTTTTTTTCAATTTAGTAGAGATATGTAAAAATTTAAGTAAAAAATTATAATATGTTACTCATTTTGTTTTTAACTTACTTCCAACGCATTGTAATAGTAATAATTAGTTTTGCAAATCTCACACTATTTTGTAAAATTCATAACTCCATCGGTGTATTTGTTATTTTAAAATGATTATCTTATTTTTCACGATAGATAAGGAATTGAACAATTATAATGTGAGAGAAGGAGTACTTATCATGATCAACCCAAACGCGTAGTGGTCACCCCACATTGATACTAGAAGAAATTCCAATTTTCAGTCTTCATTTCACAATGGGTGAATTTTCTCCTTGACATAATTTAGGGTTTTGCAATGCAAAATTATTACCACTTAATTTCACAGGATGCCAGATTACAAATGTAATTGATAACAGAAAAATATTTTGAAAAACAAAGTGCGGAAAGTAATAAGTTAAAGTTTTTTTTTTTCTTTTGGGTAAAAGTTGTGGCATATCGCTACTTAATTTTTTTTTTTTTTTTTAAAAAAAACAACAACAACAACAGAGGCCTCTGCCCTGTCACTATATCTACCCGCTATAAATATTGTTGTTTTAAGATTTTTGGGCACAAACGACTGCATTACACTAATAACATTAATTATGTCTCTAAAATTATTTTAGTTTTATAAAAAATATAATCGTTATTTCTTGGAATATATTTATAAAGCACAAATTAATTTTTTATTTTAATTTAAACTTTATAATAAATATAACCAAGTAACATTAATTTATCATGAGACGGTTGTTTGGTAAAGTTACTTAATGCTTAAAATTATTGAATTATATATTTTTTTTCATTTCAGCATGTTTGATTACAAAAGATGAACCTGTTGGTGAATTAAGTAGTGCTGAAATTGCAGTACAAAATATAAACAATAAAGGTTAGTTTATTACTTATTCCTTTACTGCGTAATAAATTTAATATTTCTAATTTAATATTAAACATTCATAATTAAGCACAAATTTTTATCAAACGAGCCCGTAGACACTACGTTTGATTATAGTACTGCAATATTCTTCTGTTCATTCTCTTATACCCTTTTCCGATTTTTTTTTTTTTTTTGGTTGGAAAATATAAAGATTTTTTTAAAAAGTTTTATTATTATCTTTTTTGCAATGTCATCATCATATAAGCCCATCATTACCCATGACAAAAGAACCAAAAGTGGGCACCTATTTTACGTGTTGTCTTACCTTTCATAACAAAGAGGGATAATTTTTCCAAGAGGGAATATCATGAATTTACGAAAAGTTGAAAAGCCAAAAAAAAAAGGTTAAAAAGTTGTTTTATACCCCATCCATACTTTTCCATTTCTTTTGTTCTTCAGGAGCTAGGAAGGACGGTGAGTGCGCAAAATAACCAAGTCCCCAACGACGGGCCTACTTGTTTTATGATTTATGGAGATGCCACACCCTAACCCATGCCGGTTGGGGGGTCCTAAATCTAAATCTCATTCTCTCTATACTTTTTTTTCAAACCTTTATTTTTGTTTTTTAGGTTCTTCCATTTGGCACCCCTACAATAATATTCCAATCTACAAATGGTCCAACCAGCATAACAACAATTGGAATTTTGATCTTGATAAAGAGATAAAAATTATTCCCATGAAAGAATCAATTCATGCCTGAACAATTGGAATTTTTTTTTTACTATTACTTTCTTTTAAAAATTTTACTAATACCCCAACTCACTTCTAGATGAACTCGTCAGGACAATGTTATAAAATTTCAATGAATAATGTAAGATATATTGTAAGATTATAGTGTAACAGATTTTTTGCCTGAAGATTATACCATAGTGTCGTTAATATTGCGGATATATACATTGTACATACTAATTATTTCACTAAATTTATGCTGTAGAAGAATCATTGATGCCTAGCTAACTAGCTAGCATGCAATTGTTATACGGCGAAGCGTAAGGAAGAAAATGGCCCCTAAACAATATTTTATCAGATAAAGTTCTGAAATTAAGCAATCATGTTTGTTTGATACAACATTATACATTAATTTAAATTTTTATTTTTAGTATGAATTCAAATCGAATAATCACTTTAGAAGAGATAATACATGTTAAAAACCCTAATGTATGTGTTTTTGTATATACTAGGGAGATTATGGTTATTGTATCGAGTGAACCTGCATATTTTGTTAATCATTTGTTATTGACAATTTAATTAGGAATTCGTTGATAAAAGCTAGTATTCCTTCAATTTTTTAAAAATAATAGTACTAGTACAAGAGAGGAGAATACTAGTATTATTCTCTAAAAAATTATGTGCTCAAAACCTCTAATGCATGTGCATCTGTATATACGATGGAGAATAGAGAGATTCAAAAAGGCACAGCTTGGCAAAGGAAAAAGAAGAATAAGAGAAGCAAAGAATTCGATTGGGTAATGAGTATGTTCAGCCGTTGCTAACCCAATAATAGAGATCTAAAAGTAGAACTTTTAATTTTAAATAGTAATTTATACACTTAAAAAAAGCAAATTTTAATACTTATACGATGTTATAATCATAGCCTCCAGAACTTTTTCCCCCTTTTGTTACGTAAATTCGACTCACAGATCCTCTCCCCCTGTTGTGTATCACGACGTGGACATAATTTACCGGTCACAGACGAAAAAATAAAATTATTAATAAATTTATAGTTCTTAAAATTTTAATAGAAAAAAGGTTCAAAATACTGACTGAATCACCTTTCATCCTCTATCTCGACCAACATGCATTTGCTCACTTAAAAAAATAAAGTGCTTCTGAAATTGAAAATCATTTTTAAGCGTAGGATCATAGTATATGAACTATGAAGAATGGCTTGGGATAATAATTTATGGGCCTGTGCATATAAAAAGATAAATTTTGTAGTGGGTTATTATCATCGTTACATATATTTCTTTTTACTGTAATTTAAACGGTAAGAAAAATATATTAACTTGAATCTAATAGTGTTAGATCAAAGGATAGATTTCATATTATATTAACAAATAGATGCTTTTATTTTTTCCTCTTCTTGATTTTCACGTTTATCGTAGACCATTGATTGGGGTTAGCCTAATCTAGAAGGTTGCAAATGCTAATTAAGTCCATCCAAAACACGAGGATGGAATTTATTTATTTTCTCAATGAGATTAAAAATAAAAAAAAGTCCAAAGTCTAAACACTAGTGACTAAATGATGAACAGTTAGAATTGTCCTGTCATTTGACCAAAAAGGAAACTAAAAAAAAAAAAAAAACTTTTGTTTCAAACTTTTAAGTATGATAGTGAAATTAATTTTCCCCATAATACTACATTTAATTTCTTTGTGATTGTGACTCGTAGTTAGACCTTGACTCCAATCCCCGAATAGTGGGAGGCGGAGGGATGACTTCTTGACATTTAGTACTCCCTCCGTCCCATAATTATTGTCCAGTTTAGATTTTTATTTTTAGTTCATATTGTATTAAAAGTGAAATCTCAAAGTGGACAATAATTTTGGAATAAAGGGAGTAATTAACACTCTTATAATAAACATAAAAGCGAACAGGTTTGAAAGACATGTCGTTGAAATATTACGCATTATTCAGATCTACTAATTATGAAAGGAGGAATGAAATTTTGTATCTATTCTATAATAAATAAACAAATGTCAGAGTTGTTATCATATTATTTTTATTTAATTAAATATTATTATTATTATTTTTTGGGTCGAGACGGGTGTCGTTTTAAGATCTACACACAGTACATACAAAAACAAGAACAATCAAACAGGAGTTTAACCCCAACTAGTTTGAATTGTTCAAGTAAATTGCCTTTTTTCAAAGTCCAAAGCATGCATTTGTGACATTTTCTACAGTGTATGTCTATTCTTTCACTATCTGTTTTTCTGATATTCTTCTTCTTCTTCTTATTATTATTATTATTATTTTTTTTTTTGAGGAGCTTTGAGATTCCATTGCTCCCCTACACTCTCATTACTTATAACATGCATTTTTTTTTTACGTATTATTATGCACAGAGTCTTGAAAATCATGATTTTTCTATTTTATTATTATTTTTTTTAAAAAAAAAACTGATAGTCATTTCATACGTCCGAAACTAATAATTTCGTTCATAAATTAATATAGGAGCCTCGATCTAGCGACTTTTGTATAAACGCTCTGTTTATTGCTCACATACTTTGCGGAATATTTTTTATTAATTAATATGCTTATTTTTAAAAATAATAACAGTAAATAGAAGATGCCCATTTCTAAAAATGAAAAACACTTCACAATTTCACGCCTAAATTCGTAATGATGTGTTCCCTAAGATGAAATAACAAAAAAAAGTCTCTATCATGTAGTCTAAAAAGTCAAACTATTACGTAGCATTGAAACGTATAGATTTGACCGCAATTAGTGTCTTCGGGGATTATGTCGCACTGTTCCTTTTTTTTTTTTTTCCTCAAACATTTGGTTGAGACATAAAATGTTATTTTAAGCTTCATTCACAAGAGAGGAATCAATCTGATAAAATTATGGTAAAATTCGTCCCAAATGAGAATAATTCTCTAATACTTTTAGAACAAATAGACTCTTTTTTTTTTTTTTTTTGAAAAAGAAAGAAAATTCTAATACTATATGTACTTGATGTAAATTTAAAAATAGTGTAATCAATCAATGATAAAAGTAGATACTTGGAAATTTCATACTACCTTCAAATGAAAAATAGTCCACATTGATTTTTGAGTTTTGTACTGTTTTTAATACAAATTTACAAACTCAATGTGAACTATTTTTTTGGAACGGAATTACTCCCTCCATTCACAAATAGATGTCGCTGGAGAGATTTCACAAAGTTTAAGGAGGCAATAATTATCTTGTTAAAATACTATAATACCCTCATTTATTCTTAATTCAATTGTAGTCCCAATAAAATTCACTTCTAATACATTTTTACGTTAAACATCACAACAATTTTCAATGTAAAAGGTGATATTGGAAAAAATTGACAAAATATGCCTCGATTTGTGAGAACGACATCTATTTTGGAATATTTGGGTTTTTCTCCAACGACATCTATTTGTGAATGGAGAGAGTAGTAATTTTCTGCTCCTTGAATGTTATTACTTACTCTCCTATCAATTTACTACAATATTTCCTAACGTATCAAATGTTGAAAACGGAAAAAAAAAAAGTTAAAGAGTAATTGGTACAAAACCCACACTGATTTTAAAAGTTTGGTTTATGAATGTTGCGAGCTTCAAACACAAATCTTCAATCTTTCTTTAAGACCGAGAGAGAGAGTACAATTTTATTTTTATTTTATTTTTTTGAAAATTCTTTGTTAATTGTATTATCCTTCAAATGATTCACTGCGTGAATTGACAAGAACTATCACAATTTTTTTTCAAAGGAAATATTAATTTTCGCTAGCACTTTAAAATTGTTTCTTTTGTCCAAAGGAATAATTACTTTGTTAAATTGAAAAAAATACGATAAAGTAAAATTTTTGTTACTTTCTAGAACTTCCGATTGCTAAAGTGCGAACCATAAAATTTTATCAACTATTAAGATTTATGTCAAGGAGTAAGAGACAATGAATTCGGAGCAATATATTTTGGTCTTCCTTTCAGCATTAACGTATAAAAAAATAGGAATCCACTACTAAAGGGAACTATTAAAGAGATGAGTTGACTCAAGTAAACAACATTTAAAAGTGATCATTTAACCCAGAAATTTCCATAATTCTAAATTCTAACCCCTTAATTACCCTGCCCAGACCTTGAATATTAATACTGCTGACATTGATTCATCACTGCTCAGTTCTCGTGAAATCTACCCAAAAACATAAATAAATTTCCTGCAGAAAAGAAAAAGAAACCAAATTTTTTTTATTTTTTTTTTATTTTTTTCATTTTTTCTTTCCCCACAAAGGAGAAAAACAAAAGCACAGAGCAGCACCCACACACGCAGACACACACTGTTTTCTCTCTCTCTCTGCTCTTCTTCCTTTTTCTCTGCTCTCTCTTTCTCTCTCAAGAGAAAAACTCTGAACTCTGACAGGAAAAAACACCTGACCCGTGAAAGCAGTTACCTAAAAACATTGTACAAAACACACACACAGTCACACACCCCATTTCTTCCTTTCCTCACTCAATACTCACTCCTTTAGCCACAACATTCATTCCTTCTTCTTCCTTGTTTCTGCATTTGAACCCCCTTTTTTGGGTTATTTAGATTAGTCTTTTCTCTTTATACATTTGGCCCTTTTTCTTTCTTTGGTATAGTTAACCTGTACCGGCAAAATCTGGGTTTTTCCTGATACTCTCAAATGGGGCGTTTTTTTAATGGGGTTTTCAAAGGGTTAAGATTCTGAAAAACGGAATCTTTTCTGCCAAAAATATATTGAGAAAGTTGGGTTTTTGTTTTTTTTCCCCTCTTTTGCCTCCTCGATTCTTGGATTCTTGGAAGGAAAAATGGGTTCTTGGTTATAGTTCGTTTGATATCCTCTGTTTCGGGGAAGAAAAGGTTTTTATGGGTTGCTGCTGATTCTGGCAGCTCAAAGATGGAAATTCTTACTCTGCTTACTGCTGTGATGTTTGGGTTGCTGTCAAGTTCCCAACTTGTTGCAACTGGTCCAGTTTCTGATGATGATCGGACCATATTGTTAGAAATTGGGAAAGAGCTCAGTTTGTCATTTTGGAGCTCTAGCAATTCTTCAAATTACTGTTCTTGGACGGGCATTGTTTGCAGCAACGATTCATTGGTGGTGGAGAGGCTTGATCTTTCTGGCCATGGCTTACAAGGTAATGTGACTCTTATCTCAGAGCTTAGAAGATTGAAGTCGCTTGACCTCTCTTACAATAATTTTCATGGATCAATTCCACAATCATTTGGCAATTTGTCTGAGTTGGAGGTTCTTGATTTATCGTTTAACAAGTTTGAAAGCTCAATTCCTGTGGAATTGGGGAGGCTCAAGAATCTTAGGTCGTTGAATCTCTCTAACAATTATCTATCAGGAGAAATCCCTGATGAGCTTGGGGAGCTTGAGAATTTGCAGGAGTTTCAGATGTATACAAATAGAGTGAATGGTTCCATACCACTCTGGGTGGGGAACTTAACCAATTTAAGAATATTTACTGCCTATGAAAATGAATTAGGTGGTCACATTCCTGATAATTTGGGCTCAAATTCTGAGCTTCAGCTGTTGAATCTTCATTCTAACCAGCTTGAAGGGCTTATTCCTGACAGCATTTTTTCTATGGAGAAGCTAAACATTTTGGTCTTGACACAGAATTTTCTTACTGGCACTATTCCCACTTCATTGGGGAATTGCAAAGGTCTTTCAAGTATTAGAATCGGGAATAACAAGCTGTTTGGAAACATTCCCAAAGAAATCGGGAACATTACGAGCCTTACATATTTTGAAGCAGATAACAATAATCTTTCTGGAGAGATTGTTTCTGAATTTGCTCAGTGCTTCAATCTTACCCTTCTTAATTTGGCCTCAAATGGCTTTAGTGGAACCATTCCTCCAGGATTTGGCCAACTTAACAATTTGCAGGAGTTGATTCTTTCTGCAAATAGTCTATTTGGCGAGATCCCAATACCTGTTCTAAGCTGCAAGAATCTAAACAAGCTGGACTTGAGCAATAACAGACTGAATGGTTCGATTCCGCCAGAGATTTGCAGCAATTCCAGGTTGCAGTATTTGCTGCTGAATCAGAACTTTTTAAGAGGTGAAATACCTCATGAAATCGGCAATTGTGTGAAACTGCTGGAATTACAATTGGGAAGTAACTATCTGACTGGTAGCATTCCTCCTGAAATTGGTCGTATGAGAAACTTGCAGATAGCCTTAAATTTGAGCTCCAATCACCTCCGTGGGCAGCTGCCACAAGACTTAGGACGACTTGACAAGCTGGTTGCTCTGGATTTTTCTAATAATCAGCTCACTGGGAACATCCCACCTGCACTGAGGGGAATGCTAAGTTTGATAGAGGTTAATTTTTCCAATAATCAATTATCTGGTCTGATACCAACCTTTGTGCCATTCCAAAAGAGCTCAAACTCAAGCTTTTTGGGTAACAAGGGTCTTTGTGGAGAGCCTTTGAGTTCTTCATGTGGAAATATAAATGGTTCTGGCCAATTCAGCTACCATCATAAGGTTTCTTACAGGATCATATTGGCTGTTATTGGTTCTTGTGTGGCTGTTTTTGTATCTGTGACCGTTGTTGTATTGTTGTTTATGCTGAGGGAGAGGCAGGAGAAGGCCGCTGAGAGTGCTGGAGCTGCTGCTGAAGAAACTATTGGCAAACCAGTCATATTAGCAGGCAATGTATTCATTGAAAATCTCAGGCAAGCAATAGATTTTGATGCAGCAGTAAAGGCAACCATGAAAGATTCAAATAAAATTAATGTTGGGACTTTTAGTACTGTGTACAGAGCAGACATGCCGTCTGGAATGATTGTGTCCGTTAAGAAGCTGAGGTCAATGGATCGAACACTAATTCATCACCAGAGCAAAATGATAAGAGAGCTTGAAAGGTTGAGCAAACTCACTCACACCAATCTGGTAAGGCCTATGGGGTTTATAATCTATGAAGATGTAGCCCTCTTGCTTCATCAATACTTTCCAAATGGGACATTAGCCGAGTATCTCCACGTGTCTAGCAAGAAACACGATCATAAGCCGGACTGGCCAACAAGACTCTCTATTGCCATTGGAGTTGCTGAAGGGTTAGCTTTTCTGCATCATGTTGCCATTATTCACCTTGACATTTCCTCGGGTAATGTACTTTTGGATTCAAATTTCAATGCTCTGGTTGGTGAAGTGGAAATATCGAAGCTCTTAGACCCATCAAGAGGGACAGCTAGTATCAGTGCTGTTGCTGGCTCATTTGGATATATTCCTCCAGGTATTTCATCTCTCTTACGCATTTTGCTCTTATAGTTAACATCATGCTATCCAGCTAGGGTCATCTTCTTATGGTATCTTGTGCCTTGTTATCCAGAATATGCATACACAATGCAAGTTACTGCACCCGGAAATGTTTATAGTTATGGGGTTGTTTTGCTTGAAATCCTTACAACCCGATTGCCAGTAGAAGAAGAATTTGGTGAAGGTGTAGATTTGGTCAAGTGGGTTCATTCAGCACCAGCAAGAGGTGAAACACCGGAGCAGATACTTGACGCGAAGCTTAGCACCGTCTCATTTGGTTGGAGGAAAGACATGCTAGCAGCATTAAAAGTTGCTTTGGCCTGCACAGACAGCACACCTGCAAAACGACCAAAAATGAAGAAGGTCGTTGAAATGCTTAGAGAAATAACAAAATGACTGCTCTTCATTTGGCTGAATCAATTGCGGTTCAGTTTAAAAAATCATCTCTTGACGATATAGTCCAGCACTCAATTAGTGGAGACACCACCAACACTCTGCCATGAAACTTTACACCATTGGACACGATTCCTGTTTTCCCTCTCAAAGAGCTTCAGATGAACTTCAGCTCATAATCTTCTCCGACTGATAAAAACATCAGAAGAGTCTGATGGAGGATGAAACAAAAGTGACCCCGTTAGATTTGTGTCGATATTAATAGTAATATTAGGTATTCAATCACATGATTGAAATTTTTGTTCAGAAATGCTGAAGCTTTTGTTGTTCTTAGTCATAGAGTGATGGAGGAGATGAACGCTCTTTGTTTCTGTCAATCAAGCTGTATGTTTGCATATAATAATAGCATCTATTAATCATTCTTGTCTTACTATTACTGCTAATATGAATTTGGAGCTTCCAAATTCCAGCTACTCTTGTGTAATTGTATCTCTGATGTAAATTTTGATATATATAGCAGTCCTATTTTCATCTTTTAATCTCTGTCCCAACTTTACTATCCAGCTGCATCTTTGTTTAAACCTGATACAGCAACGGTATATCGGTTCTTTATCTCCAGTGAGAGTGTAGACTGAAACGATCTGCTTACTTTAAACCCTCCATCCAAGAAAAATAGTACACTTCAGTGTATTGTTTTATTTCGTTCAATTAAATGGTCTGATTTTCTGAGACGGAGGGACTAATTAGCATTATGACTGAAAGTTGTGTTCCTTTCTCAATGAAACCATCTTTATGTATAAAGCTTAAAGGCCCTAAATTGAGGACAGAAATAACAGTACAAGTTTAAAGAACTGGTAATGCATTAAATTTTTTCAAGCTTGTTACCAAGTTGGATACGAGTGGATATAGGAAGGAATTAAAAGTAAGATAACAGATCATACATGATAAAAGCTGTTTAATTGAAGATGATATCTGCTGTCAGCCTGTCTCATACCAATAGTTCGAATTTTGCTGAACTCAATATCTGAAAACTAAGTTTCCGAAGGATTGAGTAATAACAATATAAAAACAGCATGAAGATACATTGAGTACGTAGCTGGAAATTCACATTAGAGTGCCTACCATTCTTGCATAGTAAATCTTATGCCTCTTTAACTTGAAGCACTGAACACAGAGTCTGGACTATAGTGAGACCAAGCAATACTATGGCTGCAATAACAGAGATGATTGACCATGGAGTGTTGAAATAATCTCGTCCTAATATTGAAAACCACCTCCTCACTGTGGATACGATCGTGTGCCACCAGTTCCGACTATAATCATTGAGTTGATCACATGCCTCAATGAAATAAAATTCCCCTGGATCTGTCAGAAACTCTTAGTAAAGGTTATTAAAAAGATCTGCCACTTGTTCACTGCTACCAAACTCATTCCTGATTATCTTATATTTGATGAGAAGATCGACACGCTTGTGAGTGTCTACCAAGTTGTCCATTAGGATCACATAGCTTGTCATAAATTTTGAATTGTATCCAGATTGTTCAAAAACTATTAGATTCCGTAGAAAGGTCTCAGTGGAATCATTAACTACTAGTGGGGGAATCGTCAATATTCCCTTCTTGTCAAAACTAACATCCAAGAGACGTTTTCCTTTTCCACGTTGAAACCTGACACCAGCAGCTCTCAATTCTGTTGCAGTTGGGCACAAGGCAAAATTTGATTTCGTCTTTCCGGTTTGTTGCCTAATACTGTTTGCTTCCCATTTTGGTTCAGCTGGTCTATGCAGGACAGATAAGAATTCAATGAAATGCTTTGGCCGGCGAAAATCACTGGGCTACAATAGCTTTCCAGTAATACCCACAGGATGGTGCCATGGTGGACTAATAACATCGTAATCTAAGCGTTTCCTGCCATCCCTGGAAATAAAGGTAACAAACAGTGCGGTGAAAAACCTCAGAGGGAGCTGATTTTTAAAGAGGGGTAGGTCATGTAATATATCTTTTGATACCCAAGGATTCTCAAATATTATGTCCTCCTTCTCTCTCATTCCAGGAAAATGGTTCCTCAAGAAAAGCTCGACAACAAAAACCCCATCCAACAAAATCACCTCATATGGTTGTACTTTGAACTTAGTGGAAAGATTAGTTCGGTAAATATCTTCGTAACATCCCATGACAAAGTTCTCCTGGCCGCGGACATGTTCAGTTAATTTATCTAAACTAACTCGAAAATTATGTAAGAAATGGTGAAGATATTTCAGCTTCTGTTCTTCCATACTTTGGCGTTGGTTTTCACCATAATGAATAAGACCTATGGAGGCCCGTCGAGGCATATAAGCTTCTTCATTCTTATGATGTTTTTCATGTACTTTATAAATACAAATTGTGCTGTTAACGAGACTATCGCGAGAGAGCCAGGATAACTTATCTTTTTTTCTTTTTTTTTTGATCCAAAAGGAAAATGTCATCATATTAACACTATACAACTACCGCTCGGGGATAGGCAACCCCGGCTATGTCATGATATAACCATTCTACTACTTCTGGTGGCTGCAAATCCAGTCGTTGTAGTCCTCCTGGATTCGCAGCCACCAAAGAGGCGAAAAAGTTAGTAGCAAAATTACATTCTCTTTGGCTGTGGACTAATTCCACCTTCCAATGTCTATCCAAAAGCTCCCTGATCGATTGTAGCAAGCCTTCATGTGCGCAAGGTGGTTTGTTTATGTCTCGGATCATCTGGACAATACTCTGGTTGTCCATAACGGCTTCCAATTCACGGCATTCCAGATCCCAAGCCAGTAGTAATCCTTAGTATAATCCCCACAACTCTGCTCCCGTTATAGAACAGTAGCCAATATTCATCAAGAATCCTCCCCTCCATTCCCCGAAGGTGATATCTGAACAGGCTCCTCGCTGATGTCCCTCCAGTTTGGCCATTCACCGCTCCGTCCGAATTAAGCTTCATTGTCCCTTGTCTTGGTGGCTTCCAAAATAAGAACCGGATTTCCTTGACTGGTGGAGAGTTATTAACCTTCACCCCTTTGACCAAATCATCCTTCACCTCACGTACCTTCCTCACAAAGGCAGGCTTTCATTCTCAAAGACCATGCCATTACGCCGTCTCCATAACTTCCAAACAATGACCCCAAAAGTTAATGGCCATTTATCAGAGATATGCAATATGTTTTCAATGTTCCCAGCTACCCACTCCCGGTGTTCCCAATTGAAAAAAAACAGGCTGTAGTGGCGCAGGAATGAACTTACACCAAACCTGTCTCGCCGGAGGACAATCCCTGTGGCATGAAGGCAGATTCCACTTGTTCTCCACACACTTGGCAAGAAGCGTCAGTGATAAGGTGTCTTCTAGATCGTTCCCTGTTTGTGAGGAGGCGGTCCTTTGCTAGTAACCAAAGAAAAGCTCTGATTCTCTGTGGACCCTTCCACGCCCAGACCTCCTTCTAGATTGCCTCTCTTCGCCGATCCCCAGGTACAGTGATGGCGTAGTACACTGATCTTACTGTAAAGGTTTCCTTGGATTCATGGCCCCAGAACATGACGTCTTCCCTGATTGACGGGCTTGACGACATGGTTGCTGCTATTCTGATCATGGCCGGTGCCGGGAGAGCCGCCGCAAACAAATCCCACCGCCAGCCCCTATCATTTGCAAAATCTTTGACCGCTACCCGTTTTTGCTCATCAGAGATGGGGGCGAGAGCAATTGTATGCAAAGCGGGCAGACCTATGACCCATTCATCTATCCAAACTCTTATAATTGAGCCATTATTTAAGGCCCACCTCACACCAGCCTTTACTTGGTCCCAAACTTTGGTTATGGCCTTGAAGCAATCAGACTCTTTGGATTTCCCCTTCAACTCCAGCCCATCATCTAATTTGATCCCATATTTGGCTCTGATCATGTTGACCCACAAGGCATTTGACCCTTTAATTAGTTGCAAGTCCAACTTCATTATAAAAATTTTGTTCATCTCTCTCTGTTTCTTCAAACCTAGCCCACCCCGTATCTTATCTTGGCAAACCTTCTCCCATGGAACTATGCTAATTTTCCTGGTGTCCTTCCCTCCACTCCACAGGAACTTCTGGCTTAACTTCTCCAGTTCATCACATATTGACAGGGGCAGCAGCGTCGGCTGAATTTCATAGTATGGCAACGCAATTAATATTGATTGTGCGAGGGTTGCTCTACCCTCTAGTGAGAGAGTAAATGCTGCTCATCCACTTAGTTTTTTCTTTGATGTCTCGACTATTGAACTATATGTCTCCCAGGTTGGCCTTCCATGTAAAATGGGCATTCCTAGGTACTTGCCGAGATCCTCCACCATAGCAAAGCCCATCTTGGCCGATAGTACCTTCCTTATCTTTGAATGGACATTTCGAGAGAAATGCACCTTAGTTTTTACTGCTTATTTTCATGCCCAAAGAAACACAAAATTCATGTAGCAGGGAGGTTCCTATTTCCACCTGCGACTCGGATGCCTCAAGAAACAAAAAGATATCATTAGCAAAGAAAAGATAGGGCACTTTAACCTTTTGCCGGCCAAAGGTCACTGCCTTCCATGCACTCGACTCAACCTTCTGAGAGATAGCGTGGGCCAATAGCTCAATGCATAAAACGAACAAATATGGAGAAATGGAGTCTCCTTGGCGAATCCCTCTCAATGGTTCGAAGCTCTCGGTTGGTCCCCCATTCCACAGAATTTGCATTGTAGAGGAGGTGGCACAGCTCATAATGACTCTAATCATCAAAGGAGGAATGCCAGCTTGACTCAAAGATTTTTCAATGAATTACTATCTCAACATGTCATACGCCTTCTCCAAGTTAATTTTAACTGCCATTAACCCCTTTTTTCCCTTCTGATTCCTCATAGGGTGGATTACCTCTTGCGCCAACAATGATGTTCTCATTAATGTGTCGTCCTGGAACGAAAATCGTTTGCACCAGACCAATAAGGTCAGGGACAATAGTCTTGAGTCGGTTGGTAATCATCTTGGTTGCCGCATTGTATACCACGTAACAAAGGCTTATGGGCGTAAATTGTTTGAGGTTCACCGGGTTCTCTACCTTTGTTATCAACACAATGAGCGTCTTATTAAGTTGATCCGGCACTCCATTCCCTGCCAAGATATCCCCCACCGTCCAACAAACTGACGCCCCCACAACCGGCCAGAACTTTTGGACGAACAAAGCATGAAGGCCATTCAGGTCTGGGGCTTTCAAAGGTCCCATTTCACTCACAGCTTGAAATATTTCTTGCGCTGTCGTTTGCCTCTTCAGATTATGTTTTTGGGAAGCGTTTAGCGGGGGGAAAGAACCCCTAACCCGGTATTGGACGTGTTGGGCAATGTCATCCGTATACAGCTCTTGAAAGTATTGAGAGGCCATTACAATCAGCTGCTACTGATTGTTGACCCACTGCCCCCCATCATCCTTCAGAGCCACAATTCTATTTCTCCTCATTCTACTTTTTGCAAAATTATGGTAAAATTTGGTGTTCATGTCGTCGTCTGAATTCCACTGCCTGGCCGACTTTTGAACCCAAATAATCTCTTCTTGTGCTAACAGGACCCCTAGCTTAGCTTGAATCTCATTTTCCAGATTATCTAACCAAGGATCATCACGTGTCTCTCTTGCCTTTTGAATGTCAGTCAACCTCGCCACTGCCCGCCTTTTCTTTTTAAAAATATGCCAAAGGTTTCACGATTCCAGAGTTGGACCGATGATGCAAACTCCTCCGCTGCCTGAAAAAATCCAGCACCATCATCCCAATTTTGCTGCACAAAATTTGGGAAACCTTCATGAAGCATCCACGCTGCCAAAAACCGGAATTGACGATCTCGCCTAATTCTAACCGGTGAACACCCCAGATTCATCAACAAGGGATTATGGTCTAATTGCCATTTTGGAGGATGTTGGCACAGCCCATCTGGGTATTGATCCACCCATCTTTGGATACAAAAGAATCGATCAAGCTTTTTTTGCAATTTCCCACTTCGCCAAGTGTACTTGATCCCATCCGTATGGACTTCCTGCAGCTGGTTATCAAAGATCCAATCTGCAAAGAGAGAAAACCACACTTGTCTTCTCGACCGACCACCTCAACATTCTGATTCTAACAATATGGCGTTGAAACCCCCCCCCCCAACACAACTCCCTTCTCACCCCTGGGATAGGACTTACATAAACAAAAGTAACAAAAAAACAACTTCTTTGAGCACAGATTCGGGTATGCACAAACTGACGGTGAAAGGCTAGTATTTCCACTTGAACCGTATCCTTCCACAATGCCCAATTTCCTTCATAAAACCCCACCGATTCCACCCTAAAAGATCTGTCAAATCCACTATGTTTCACAAAAGCATCAGCATTCTTACCACTTATTCGTGGTTCAAGCAAGGCAACCACAACATGTTTATATTGGCTCATTATATCAAGAAAAGCTTGTCTAAAAGGGATCGATCCCGCCCCTCTGACATTCTAACTCATAATTCCACAATCCATATACATATTTACAGGATTAGAACTAACCTTACTCAGCTACATGATTCTAGAGGGTTTGAACCCCTGATACTCGTCTTCCTCTATTCGATTGCTCCCAGGCTATTGAAGGTTAGAGCTCACGAACTCCACTTCCATGCCTACACTCCCACCCTTTGGTTGGAATCCAGCGAATCCTTACTCCGATTCCCCTCGTCTACTATTCGCCCAACCTCTATTATTTGCCCCTCTTTCAATTTATCCTTCCCTGCCCCAATCTCCATGGCCGACCCTCCTTTTTTAGTTGCCATCACCATAACCGTTGCATGTTTGCCAGGATCGAGAGATGTCGGCACCATAACCGCATTCGGGAACGGTTTTTATAACTGATGTTGAAATTGAGAAATAGATCGTTGGTTTGTCTCCTTATTTTGTATTTTACCCCCCTGTATTTTTATATTAGATCTTTGGCTACTTCTTGGTTTATTATGCTTGGGCTTTCCCTAGTGGCTCCAATATTACTGACCCTACTACGCTCAATCTAAATCCCCCCATTCAGCTTCTCCCTCAGCCCATTTTGCTTCCCCCTAACCTTGGGCTTTTTTTCTTTAGGCCCATTCTCCAAGCCCATAGTAATAATCTCCCTCCAAGCAGCTCCTGGTTTTGACCGGTCCTTATGTCTCCCTCTCTTTTGTCCATGATTTAATCCTGATGAGACCAAATCTTTCCGCCGATTTTTCTCTGGCACCCCTGACCCTTGTTCCTTTTGAGGTTTGGCTGGAGATTCCTGCACCTCCTTCTTTATCTCACTTAACATGGAAAAGCAGGACCCATTCGATTGCATGTTAATGGTAATTTTGCTTCCTGATGTTTTGACAGAAGGTGCCCTAGACTTACTCCATTTTGACGCATACATCCAATCCCCATAGGCCGGCATTCTTGGCCTGTGTTGCCTTCCCCCCACCACCTATTATGTGCTGGATTGTTGTTTTTCCGTCGCTTGGGGTTGGAGCTCCGTTACCGGCGTAGGGGCAAAGCTGCAATTCTCTTCATACTGCCCCACTCGCCCACAGGTCATGCAGATACATTGTAAATTCTCGTATTAAACATGTTGCATCCTTCCCCTTATTTCAAACTTCGAACGTAATGGCTTGGTGAGATCCAGTTCCACCACCAGCCTTGCAAATTTTCCTCGTCTTCGCGTCTATTTGATGGTCAATATGAATGACTTTGCCGTCGAGCTGCCCAACCCTTCTTAAGAACGAGTTGTTATAGTGGTGCATTGGCCAATGTGAGGAGGTACGAGTTGGTCCAATTCTCACCTTGGCTGATGTTATAGTCATTGGCCCAACACCAACACCTATAACGAGTTGTATCCAGACTAACATGAACCTCACCTTGGCTATTTTGGCGTCAAAGGTGTTGGTCCAAATCTGTGTGTGGAGGTACGAGTTTTCGATAAGCCATGGTCCCTTTGTCATCACCATCTTAACATCAGCTGAGTTTACAAAACTCACATTGAAAAACCCACAATCCATGTCAACCACCATGAACCCATCCTTGTTTTGCCACATCCGTTCTAGGCGGTATTGCAATTGTGCAAGTGTGATTGTTTGCCCCATCAGCTTCACCACGACCACATTCTTCCACCTCTTCGTCAGCAGCTCCTCCACCCTGTCATGGACCACCACTTTCTGAATCGGACCCTTCCTGATCAAAATCACATCTTCATCAAGGTTGGGGATCTCTTCCTCCTCCCCAAACAAATCAAAGAACACCAGGAGTTTCCCCCCAAAGAACTTCTCTCTGAAATTCATGGGATGGGGCACATTGATTCCCGGCAGTGGAGCTGGCTGCGGTGGTGGACGGACACTTTCCAGTGTCACCTGTGGCTCCTGCGTCAGTTTCTCCGGTAGTGTTTCATCCTCCCTATGCCTGGGCTTCTTAACTGAGCGATCATCCAATGGGAAAGATGTTGAACTCTGATTAGCCCTTTCATCAGACATCGAGGGAGGCTCTGGGGTTATCCCCAGATCATGGCCATTAGGCCGAGACATTCTCCCTTGACACCACAAGTCTAGAGAGACAGAGTTCTAGAGATAGAAAGAGAAAAGTCTTGCCTTTTACCCTCTCTTCTTTCAAAACTTCAAGGATAACTTATCTTTGAGTGATGGCAATGAGCTTTTTGCACCATCTGTTTCCATGGGCATGACTTGATCCAATGGTGATTCCAAGGGTGCAGAAGGCATATTAGGATTGGGAGCAACATCAACAATGTCCTCCTTTCCTTCCTCTACAATGAAGATGTTTTGATCCATTCCTATCTACACAGAGACAAATTAAACATATTTTTTCCTGGGATGAATTGAAGTTGGTCAATCTGCTTCAAAAAATGTAAATGAAAGAGAAAATGATAAAACCCAAATTGGACAAAAATTTTGGGACAGGGGGAGTACATCCTTGCAAACAAATGACACTAAAACAACACAAGGTTGACACAAATTAAGATGAGGTTAGATTATGGCTACTCTCTCCATCATTCTGGAACAAGTGGAAAATTACAAGTTCCAAGTAGGACAATATATACAGGAGACTCGATCGATCATCAACTATATTAAGAAAATGTATGTGGAGAGCTGCTTGATTAGATCACTAGTTACCAAGCCAATCCGCCATTCTTCCACTCTGTGAGTAATTTTTTCATTGCATTAAATAGAAGAAAAAGATGAGAGGACTTTAGGGAAAACAAATTAAATGATACTTGAAAAAGAAAAAAAAAAGAAAAGAGAAACCCAACACAATCCCCATAAAACAATGTATAACCGAAACAGAATCCACTATTTTCACAAACCTCGAACATAAAAGAAAGGTAGATCCATACCAGAAGCTTAAATCATAACCAAACTAATGAGTTCTAGAACACTTTTCACATAAATCACTAATCCTACTACCTAGATAGCTACAAGTTAGATAAAGAAAAAGAGTACCTTAACACTTGTTATTTATAGATGGGTTGAATCTTATGATTAAAAGGATGAGTTGATGATTCAGAATATAAGGTTTCTCATGATTTGAGCCTGCTTCATTGTAAAAGGTTTAAGAAAGACTAAACAGAAACAGGGGTGTAAGTATAGTAAACGATAGTATATAATAATTCAGCACAAGAAGTTGCAAGTGGAATTTCTATGCCTTCTCATTTTGTCAACACTAGTTAATCATGACTAGCCACCAAATATTAATATATTTAGCTTTACATAATTAGCTCTTTCAAGACACAATCAAGTGGGGTGGGGTAAAAGAGAGTAAGGGATAGTACAATGTTCAGTGACACGCCAACTAACTAATGTAGTTGAATTATAACAGGTCAAAGAAGCAATGTTCAGATGTCGACAAATGTTCCATAATTTACTCCCAAATAAGAAGGATTATGTTATTTGTCGCTCCCAATACGTAACATTTAAGGGAGCGATATTTAGCAGGCCACAATAAGAAATCTTCGTAATCAACCAAGAAGTGAGCCTATGTAGAACACTTAAAGGACTTGCAAGACACATTCAAGTGGGAAATAAAGAAAAAAAAGAAAAAAAAAGAAGAAAAAATAGAAACATAATAGTGTTTAGTGACTAATAATGAAGTTGAATTATATGCTACTAAGCAAAGAAGCGCATTTAGATTTCGACCATGGAGTTTGTTAGTAGGCCTGCCCTTGTGTAAAATAGTATTTTTAATTTAAATTTGATTTCCTTGAGATTTAGAACTCCCAATGATTTTGAAAAAAACTTTAAGAGAAAGATCAAAAAAGAAGTTTTTTTCTTTTTTCCCCAAATGATGTTTTGAACCTTTTTCAGTTTCCATCTTGCAATCTTCAAGTTTCATAATGGCCGCAGAACACAAAATCTCCATACGCCAGATCAAGATGATCAATTGAATGACCCTGTTAGAAATCAATTGAGCTGTGATGTCAAAGGCGGTGATCCAGTAGTGGAAATTTATTTTCCGAATTTGATATTCTGGAACAGTATATGGATGAAACAGGGTAGGAATGTGAAGGAGTTAAGAGGCAAAGGAATGGCTAAAATGATTCATGAACACACCCAGTGAGGCAAATGAATGGTGGGATGAATTCAGAATCATCAATCACAAATCTAAAAAAAAAAAAGATGATGACCTTGGTGATCATCACATGGAGCATTTGTGGGATGGTGATGATGACGATGATGATGATGATAGTAAAACTGTTAGGAAGAGGATGTCAAAACTGGTTAAGTTGTCATCGAAAAAGGTGCGTTCTTTTATTCCATCTCTTTATTCTCGCATCCAAAATGTTTTTTATAAACAGTTAGATTGATTTTGAAACAAAGGCGTTGAATGATAAGTTAGATCAACTTTCGGTGGATGCATCTCAATCCAATGTTTTCGTCGTGACAAGTAACTAAACTCTTGACCCGTATGCTTGCATAGGTTTTACAATTCATTTTATTTAGGTGTACCTAATTTAAAATGGATAGTAAAATGATAGTATAGCAAACATAAATGCATTTATTTATGGTATGATTGTGGAAAATAAATTTTTACAAATAATATTGTTTTTTAGTAAAAAACTAAATCTTGATAATGATCTTTATGTACACGCATATTATTCTTGTGACCATACTCATGGCATCATAAAGGCAATGATTTTTTATATTACTATGTGGCTGAATATCAACACTAACTACTGAGTCACCAAAGACATCGTACATAAAAACAACACAAATTATTGGATTCATTGGAGTTTGATATAAACCTTTTCACAAAAGTGTACTCGTATAATATTTCAAAAGCATAATTGAAAATGATAAATCAAGAATAAATTCAAAGTACAAATTTCATAAACACGAATGCTCACAATTTATGAAGTCATAAAGGGAGTGGTATTTTTGGACTCTGGGAGTTTGGTGGGTTTTCGAAGCCCCCAAAATAATTTACCAACTTAAACTGTAGATAGGATAAGTCAGGTCGATCCCACAGGGACGGGTTAAACTTCAAATAACCGGAACACGAAATTGGACAAACAAGAAAGAAAGTTGCAGAGTGTCACTCACTTGCACGAGTGGGTAAAGTCACTCAGGCAAGTGACTCTACAGAACTGAAGACAAAGAAAGACAAATGGAACCTCACTCACGGGAGTGAGAATTCCGACTCAAGGGACTGATTCTACAAACTAGATATTCATTCTCTTTTCCCTATGTAATCAAGCTGTAATGTTGCACTCTTTTGGTATGAATTCATGCTCATTCAGGCACTTATATATCTCTAAGTCACTTTCGATTTTTCCTAGAGGTATCTTTATCAACTCAATTAAACTATTTTCCAATGATTAATCAAGTAATAAAGTCATGAAGTTTTCAAGCCTTATATGAATGCTTATGCTAACCAAGTATATTCCTATCTCAATTAGAACCTTGGATTGTTACCTCCAAGTCATAAGTTGAAGCTAAATGATTCTGAACCTTGTTTACCCTTCCGGGATTCACTTAGCTCTATTCACAATCATTCAAATGGCCAATTTAATCAAGAGGTAGACGAAAGCTTTAACTTCAAAACACAAAATCATCCGAATGCATTCACAAACTTAAACTACATAGGTTCCAGAGAATGAAATCTAATTAACTACACATACAAACTACAGAAAATACAAGAAAAGAAATAAAGCATTGAGAAGAAGCAAATCTGGATGGCTGAGCAACATGTCACTCGCCTGAGTGACAAAGGTCTGTTACTCCTCTTTTTCTGCTACTGGACTTCTTCTTCCTTTGGAGTTTTCTCCCCTCTCCGCTCTCTTCTTCTCTCTCTGTGGTGTTTTGTGTGTTGTATGTCCACCCAGATCCCCCTTCATGCTTGGAATGCAGCTCCTTTTATAGAGTTTTGAAGCCGGTTCTTCTTCCAAGATAGCCTCTCCATGCTTGTGAATTATTTATTAGCCCCAATGCCTTGTGTCTTGAATCCGGTTTTGATTGGTCTTTTCCTCTTCTTCCAGCAGTGGTATCAGCAACAGCATTGATCAATGTGGGTGGTTGGTTCTTCATTCAAGGGGACAAGCATGCTCTTTAGTTTCTATTATGGGACACCCTTATTAACTCCCAATGTGTCTTGTGTCTTGGAGTTGCTTTTTGACCAACTCAGCCCTCATTTTAAATTGGAATTAGCAGCCCAATTGTTGCTCCATAAGCCCCCATTTTCAGTATTTGTTCACTCCGGTCCTCACCTATTTAGAAACACAAAACTAGCTAAGTAAAATGAACAAAGTCTAAGAAACACTCCTAATTTCTAACTAATTAAAGAGTAAAATTACAATGCTTTTATGTAACAATTTGACCGTGATCAGAGTTCTATCATGTTTAGCACCAAAAAAAAAAAAAAAAAAAAGAAGAAGAAAAAATCATGAATCAATTTTCTCTTGACTTTTCATTTCAAAGCATTATTTTTTCCCTCTTTTTTGGTCCAAAAAACAATCTTGAGGAAGTTTTACAAAAACAAAAAAAAAAAAAAACAAACATGAAAGGTAGCAAACGAAAACTTGATTTGTAATTGTACCTTAGGCTCAGGGATTTCAAGCAAGTTTCAAGAAGATCCCTCCTTCATTTCAAGTCTAGTGTTTGTTTCCTATTAATTCTTCTACACTTTTCAGGATCAATAGTTCTCCTGTTCTATGTTTCAATTAATTTAATAACACCATTACATCTGTACAATGTTGAATGTGTATTTATATTAATTTCTACGGATTTCAATTTAACCAAAAAAAAAAAAATCAATCAAACTTTAATCTTTAAAAAACATAAGCACCTCATCTAATAATTGATTCAATTCCATTGATGTTTCGACAAATAAACTACGCAACAGCCGTTTGGCTGATCCCATTCAGTTCTCGAATTTGTAATCCACCCAAGTATCACCATCATCTAGTTGTTTCTAGGTGAAGATAATCTTTGTTGGTCAGAGGAAACTCATCCTTTTCCTGAGTCTTGTCTAATATTATGAATAGTGTCTCTACTTTGAATTTCCCAATCCACTGCACTCAATCAATGTTGTGCACAACTTTGTTTATGATGGTAATTGTGCTACCAGTGACTCTGCCGGCCAGATTTTTGTGAAATAATACACAAACCAAAATGAGGATTATCAAAAAAAAAAAAAAAACAGAGTATGAGATTATAATCTTGATATAGGTAGTTTATTTTGATGGTGGATTTGGGGATCGTGGGGAGATTTTTTTTTTTTTTGACGATAGTAGGCAGGTTTTGCAATTTCTTAGGAGTTATTTATTTTCACAATTAAC